TTGACATCAGGACTATACTAGACCTTTTTTTGTTGTTGTTTGTAAGGAAGATTAGCCCTGAGCTAACATCTGTTGCCAATCCTCCTCTTTTTGCTGAGCAAGATTGGCCCTGCGCTAGCATCCGTGCCCATCTTCCTCTACTTTATGTGGGACGCCACCACAGCATGGCTTGGTGAGTGGTATATAGGTCAGTGCATAGGATCCGAACTTTCGAACCCCGGGCTGCCGAAGCGGAGCACGAGAACTTAACCACTATGCCACTGGGCCAGCCCCCTATGCTGGAACTTTTAGAACACAGGTGGCAGTCACTTATCCTCTCCACCCTAACATGGCACTTTTTCCATAACCTGTTGAAACACTATTAACACTATTGTAACAAGCCGGCCTCCTCCTATTAGTGTAGGGGTTTTCTTGTCTGGTTTATCCCTGTACTCTCAAACCTAGCACTTAGGAGGCATTTAAGAAATATTTATTTAATGACTAGGGCCACTGAAACCTAACATTAAATTCCAAGTTTTTCACAATGTCAGTTATCACAAAACTCCAGTTCATGAGATACATACATCTTTCCCCTAGAATCTGTTGAGTACAAATATCTCACTTCTCCTTACTTCTAAGTGGGACCTGGACTCACCCTCTATGTACCCCATCCTCACCTGCAGTTCTGTCAAGCAAAAGCCTCTCCTTATATCCGACAGGCACATGGACAACAGGAGCCATTCTCTCTGTGCAACTCCCCATCCCTCCTGCTTCTGTACCACCTGTACCTCTTCTCTAACTCGCCTTCAGTCCACTTATGCTACCCCTTCTCTTCCTCCTTGCAGAACTTGGAACTTTCTGCCGAGAGCCTCCTGCCAGGACCTGAGCTTTGGAGAGGAGCGTGGTAGCTGTGGTTTCTGTCAGCTGTCCCCGTTTCCACTTGCCCATTTCTTCCACGCACACCAAGTCCATGTAGTTCCGACAGTGCCCACACAACCTCACAACTCAGCTGCTCGGTGCAGCAGACTGTAAGTCACTGAAGTCAGAGGAATTATACGCAAGTCTGCTCCTGGGAAGACAGAGTAGGCATGGGGATTTTTCTTCCACATTTTGCTCTATAAACTTCTATATTGCTTGAATCTTTTGATGTCCATAATTTAAAAAATAATTAAAAAAAATAAGGATTCTCCTTTGGCCTCTTGGCCTTCCACCATTCTTACCCTGACAACCTTCAACTGTGGGTTAATCTAGCATCCATTTCCTTTATTTTTGATCCTAAACTACTCGACACTGCTGGACAAGGGTGGGAAATGAAGCAACTACCCTGGATCTTCACTGTGGCTCTACAACCCTTCCCTTGAACTCTAAGTAGCTCTAAATTCCCATAATAGCTGTTACAAACCTCCCCACTCCTCCACTGCACCTCAAAAGACCTCACTTCCAGCAAATTTTCTCTGGATCTATTTTTCTTTTCCCATCTTAGCCCAGTCATCTTTAAGTGCTGGCACTGGTGTGCTCTCTCTCCTGGTTTTTTCCCTCAACTAATCATATACAAATCCTCACATTATATCCACCCTTTAATAAATAACTCTCCTCCCTGACCTTCTCTTTCCCATTTCCTTCAAGGCCAATCTTCCTGAAGAGCAGACCATCCTCATCACTTCCACTTCCTCAGCTCCCACCCAGCTGTCAGCCCCTTTAGACTGGCTACCACTCTGCACAAATCGCTCTCTTGAAGATCATCATGACCTCAAATATGATCAACTGCCGAATTCAAAAGCCTCTTTCAATCATTCTGCTCCTTCAATTCAGCTTGATCCAACATTACAGACCATTAGCTTCTACTCCAAGTCCTTTTTTCTCCTGTTACATTTGACTTCTCATTGACTGGCTTCTCTTTCTTCTCTTGCCCCTTAAACACAAGACTTTCTCTAAGGTTTCCCTGTGATTTCCATCTTCGCTCATGCTACATGACCGCCCTTGTTAACCTTCTCTAACTGACAATCAGGCTGAGAGAAGCTCCCAAATCGGCGCCTCCACGCCCAGCCCGCACTTGTAGGGAGCCAGGCCTACTTCCTAGTTATGCTGTCCCCACAGCTTAGGTGGTGTGCAGGCCCCTCAAGCTCAACGTGCCTCAAGTCTGCTCATCTCCCTCCCGATTTTCCGTATCAATCAGGTGGCGGCCTCCTCCGGCTCTCAGGTGCCGGCTGGAGCCATCTTCAGCTCTTTCTCCCTCTCCCCATCTCCACATCTAGTTTGCTGACACCTTTGGAGCCTGTCACTGTGATGACCCTCACATCTCCCCTCTTTTCCACTCCCACTGCTGTTTCTAGTCCCATCACCTCTTTTCTTGACAACCGCAACAGCATTTTTCTCTTTTCTTTTCTACAAATCTCATGGGTGTAGACCCACAGACCCACACTCAGGCTGCGGTGCCCAGCCCAGCCCATCCCCACCTCCGTCTGTAGAGCCTCCCCATCCCATCACCTCTTGCACTCTGGACCCACTGTATGACAGATGTTGACTTACAGGAAACGGTCTGTCTGGGTACCATCTTTGCTCCCTGCTTATGCCTGGCACTTCATGCTTATATTATCTCATATGGGTTTGAAAGGTAAATTTGAATTAAGAAAAAAATACATATATACATATTTTTATATAATACATATTTTATATACACAATGTGCAAGTGTGCATAAATAGATTACTCTAGATCCAAATAGCAATCTATTACTCAAACAGTATTTTCACAGCATCTGGTCTGGTAGTGGGATTTTACAAACTAATGTAAGTTAAAAAAAAAATTAAGGAATGATGGCCTCTCTGAAGTTGAGGACTTTCTCCGAAACCCCCTTGTAGTCTGTTATGGACTGTATTGTGTACTCCCCTCCCCCAATTCATATGCTGAAGCCCTAACTCACAACATGACTGTATTTGGAGATGGGGCCTTTAAATAAGTGATTCAGGTTAAATGAAGTCATAAGGATGGGGCCCTAATCCAACAGGACTGGTGTTCTTTTGAGAAGAACAAGAAACACCAGGAGGACACGCACACAGAGAAAAGGCCACATGAGGACGCGGCAAGAAGCGAGTTGTAAGCCAAAAAAACCTCAGGAGAAACCAGTCCTGCTGGCACCCCGATCTTGGGCTTCCAGCCTCTACAACTATGAGAATAAATGTCTGTTGTTTAAGCCACGCAGTCTGTTGTGGCAGCCCTAGCTGACTAATACATAAACCAAAAGAACTGGCACTTTTTGTAAAGAGAGAGAGATAACTAAGGTGCATCTGTGTAAGATACATAAATACGTGACACAAAGGAGACATGAGGAAAGCCGGAAGGATTTAGATATAAGGAAGCAAAAATGATTTAGATTAGCTACAAGAATGCCATGACTATAAGGGGTTGCTGACGCTGGCTGCAGGCAATGGTCTGAAGAGAAAACAGACAGTGGAGAGGCACATTTGAACACCGATGCAAACAATGCTTGGAGAAGTTCTAGAGATCCTAATGGATAATACTACCATTTTCTAAACCGTATTCCAAAGAGTAAAGGCAAAATGGGTTTCATGGTAAAATAAGGTTTGGAAACACTGAGTAGAGCAAAGGAACAGTTTGCTTTACTGTGGAATTTCTTGGAGCCTTTATGAGCTCCACGAAGCTCCAAGAGGGGGATATGGCATGCAGCATTTCTCAAACTTATTTGATCACAGAACCCTTTTTCTGTGAGATATCGTCGGTGATGCTTCTTCCTTGGATCACATTTTCAGAGCTGATGGATCAAAAGAAACCTGGCTACTTTGAGGGACACACCCCTAACGATGTCGGCCAGGATCTGGCCATGTCCCACAGTGCAGCTCTCGAGGCCCAATACTGAGGGGCTACAATGGGGTGGGGGATCAGCGCATGCCCTTGGCCCCTGTTAACCGTGTGATCTTAAGCAAATTCCTCAGCCTCTCTAGACTTCAGTTTCCTCATCTATAAAACAAAGACAGTAAGAGTGAGTACCTATCTTCAGGGGGTTTTTGCAGATTACATGGCAAGAACTAGGCTAAGTGCTTTACATGGTAAGCACTCAGTATATATTAACTATTACACAGGTTATAGGTCTGCCAGCAAGTGGCTTTCCCTACTGTTTACAACAGTCAGTGACTTAAGACAGATGAGAGGAAAGGAAAGCCAGAAACATCAGCCACTGTTTTCAATTTCACTCACACAAATCACTATCTTCTCCATGCCAGAGGCTGGGGCCACACAACTGAAATCCACCTCTGCTTCACCAGATGTCCTGCCAGTGGAGGGCACCAGAGGCAGAAGAGCAGGTGTGTGTTCACCCCGCTCCTGGCCCTGCTCCTGTTAAGTGGACCCACAGGCCAACTCAAGAAGTTCTACATAGAGTTCTACTTAGAGTAAGAGCCTTTGCTGCCAAATAAAGAGGACAACAGAAAATAACAAAGGGCTTTATTTTCACGTCACTGTCCTGGTTTCTTCTAGCTGTTGTTAACAACCTGACAGTGTGTCTCTACAGCCCTTGATTCCAGCATTGTTTACATTATCACAGTTACAAATATACTACCTTGAAGAGAAAACAAGTAGCTTTTTTCTAAAGCCCACTGGGCACAAGAGGAAAGTGGACAGCTCCCTGGTCCCTGTTGTCCCTCCACCCCTTCTCCTGGTGTCTCCATCCCACGGGAAAGGATCCAGGCAGGAGGCTACCCCATCCTCATCCTTGGATCCCTCTAGGGGAACGAAGAAACACAATTCTGTTTTCCTGTTTCTTAAGTTGAGGGCCTTAAAACTAACCAATGTTTCAAAAACAAAACCAAACACCTGCAGAGCAATGTTGGGGCCCAGCTGTTTTCCATAGGCTTCCATTTTCATTGCCTCACTGTCCTTCTGGGAGGTTTTTCCCTTAACTATCATGATTTTTCTCATCTTTCACAATGGTAGAATTAGATAGGAAGAATTAAACAAACTAGAAAAGAAAAAAAATCTAGTCCTGCAGAAACTCTGCCTTAGACAACAGTACTGGCATCACCCTAACCTACCCACCCTCTAATTCCTGTACCCCGTCCCAATCCCTGCCCACAACCCCTTTCTGGATACTCAGACATCACGGTCCCCAAAGGGCAAGGTTCTGTGAAGAAGGCCCCCGAGCACCTTAGGAGAGCTGGACCTGCTCTGGCTCATCGGGTGGCAATCTGGGCTGGCACTGTGGGCACCACCAGGTGAGCCTCTGGAAGCCACCTGGAGGCCCAAAGGCCTCCTTCATGACCTGGTGCCCGGCAGGGCACTGCTCTTTCTGGTAGATCTGCGTGTGCTGCTGTTTGCCCTGGAACTTGCCCTGAAGCCAGTCTGCACTGAACTCCACCACGTGATCCAGGAGGACCCCAAGTCGCAGAGGACTGAGGAGTGAACCGAGAGAAAGGGGATGGATCCCAGCTCTGTACAAGGCTTCATTCTTAATGATGTTCCCTGGAAGACAGCAGGGAGAGGACAAGGGAAGGAAAAAAGACACATCCACAAAGTTAATAAAGCAAACTGAAGCTGGTAGGATGGCAGCAGGGGAGTGACTCGAAGACCTGGAACCAGCTCTGCTGTGTACCAGGGGCTCTTGGGCAAGTCACGTATTCTCTGAGTCAACTTCTGTCTGCAAAGTGGGTTTGCTAATACTTACCTTTCAGGTTGTTGTGAAGATGAAATGGAATGAAATAAAACTCATGCATGGCCCATTTTATAGCAAAGAGACGATCAAAATGGGCTCTGGAATCTGACTGCCTGGATTTGAATCCCAGCTCAACCAGATCCTAGCTATGTGACCCTAGCAAGTTCCTTAGCTTCTTGAAGCTTCAGTTTCCTTATCTGTCAAATGAGGATAAGTTACCTGGTTTCTGTGAGCAGTAAATGAGGATTGTCACACGCACGCACGCAAACACACACAGAAACTGAGTGCGGTGGCTGGTACGTGGGGAGTACTCAATAAATATTGGCTGTTATTATTTAAAATGTAAAGTGTAAGGTCTGAAATACAGAAAGTGGGAGATATTATTTTATTATTTTTCTACTCTTGCCTCATTCTCTGTGAAGTTAGCCTTGATCCCTCCTTCCAGAATCAACACCTCTCTTCAAAATGTTCCAGCAGTGCACTTTCTTGAACCTCTACCTGGCATTTACTGCAGTCTATCTCAAGTTACCGTGAACTGAGTCCATGCTTTATGGGCTGCTAAACAACAGCCTCCTTGAGGAGAGGAGGTGAGCATGGTAGAGGGCAGGCATTCAGCACGTGTGAAGTGAACGGATGAGTGAAAGTACTGCTCGTTCCAAGACCTTCATAATCACACTCCTGGCTACACATAAAATTTCTCTCTACAATTCACTGCCAGACCACTTGGATGCAGGTATCAGCTGCAGTACTTACTAGCAACATGGTTTTTCCTTTAGTTTCTCCATCTGATAAAAGGAAAATGAATAAATATCCTATGGAATAGCAGTAAGGATGAAACTATGTGCCTGGCACACTGGAGTCATGTGAAAAACGTTGGCTGTTATTACTACTGTTAGTAGTAACAACTAGTAGAGATTTAACTCTTGCTATATATACCCCAAAGGCACTTCTGGAAGCCTCTTTGCCTCTGAGGGTGCAGGGACTCCCATGGTCCTAACGTGAAGATGCAAGGCCACTGTCTGGTGAGCCACTGAGCCTCCTCCCCCTCATGAGGTAAGCTGTGCCTGCAGCGGACAGAATCACATCTCGGATATGGAGGTGACTCGGTCATCACCAGCTCACCCAACTGCCTCAGCACCAACACGGGGCACTTATTCCTCGGCTGTGGCAATAAGAACAATACGCTCTACACCTGTCAGAATGGCTATAATGACCAAAACAAAAAATAACAAGTGTTGGAGAGGAGGTGGAGAAAAGGGAACCCTAATTCACTGCTGGTGGGAATGCCAACTGGTGCAGCCACTATAGAAAACAGTACGGAGATTTCTCAAAAATTAAAAATAGAAATACCATACAATCCAGCTATCCCACTACTGGGTATTTATACAAAGAACTTGAAATCAACAATTCAAAGATATTTATGCACCCCTATGACATGGAAGCAACCCAAGTGCCCTTTAACTGATGGATGGATAAAGAAGATGTGGTGTATATATACAATGGAATACTACTCAGCCATAAAAACGACAAAATCGTCCCATTTGCAACAACATGGATGGACCTTGAGGGTATGATGTTAAGCGAAATAAGCCAGACAGAAAAAGACAAATGGTGCATGATTTCACTCATGTGTGAAAGATAAACAAACACATGGACAAAGAGAACAGATTAGTGATTACCAGTGGGGAAGGGGCTGGGAGGGTGGGCAAAAGGGGTAAAAGGGCACATATGTATGGTGACAGATAAAAACTAGACTATTGGTGGTGAGCACGATGCAGTCTATCCAGAAACTGATTAATAATGCACACTTGAAATTATAAACCATTATGACCTCAATAAAATAATTGAAAAAAAAAAGAAAAAGAATGGCATGCTCTAGTAGTCCAGCTAATTAGCCATTCTAGTTTTCAAACTGCTCAGCTCTTCTTCCCACCTCAACATGCTCACAGTTTCACTGCTCAGGACACTTGAACAGAGAGAAGGAATCTGCTTCTTCACCCACGTCTTATGTAGACCTGAGACATCTGTCCTTTGACCAGCAGGCAGCTCCATCTGCCAGGAGCGGCCCTGATTAGCAAATGCTCTGCTCTCCCTCAGCAAGCTATGCAGCTTTGAGTTCCCGGCAGACGTGGATTGAGCACCTCCCGTATGCCAGGCACTGCACCAGGCAGTGGAGTCAAGGAGAGAGGAGACATGACCCCTGCCCTTTAGGAGGTCACGCTCAGGCAGACTACAGCTGATGACATAACTAGGGTGTGAATTCCGAAGGCAGGAGAGAAGGTCAAGATTGTCTAACTTCCTCAGTTTAAAAATGCAGGAAGCGAAGCTAAAGAGATTAAGTGATTGCCTCAAGACCAGCATCGAGGCACACTAGGGGTGGGTCTCAGTTTTGTGCCTCTCAGACGAGTGACTTTATTAAATCACTCTGTGGGGCTCATCCCTTTTCCATCGGACATACCTAGGCCTGAGAAGTATCTTTGGTCCAACAGCGTATAGCAGACAGGCCGCTCCTGGCCCAGCGCTTCCAGGGCTTGTCCTCGATGGAACTTTTCAGACAAGATGTCAGAGGTGGGTTTGACCACTGGGGAAGAGCTCCAAGACATCTGACAATTATAAAATGCCAGGAAGCCACCACTGCCAAAGTGCAGGACCAACCTGGGGAGAAAGAAAAGATCGTTAAGTGCATACGGATACGACAGTATTGTCAGATCACATGTACATACAGCTCCCACTCCACAGTCAGGATTAACCTGCGGAGGCTAAGGTCCCCAAAGAGTAAAGGGACGGCTCTGCTAGGATCATAAAAATCTCAGGGCTAAATGGAATAACTAAAAGAAAACATACATATCTCTCCATTTTCCTAATCACAGCAATACATGTTCACTGAAGACAGTTTGGGACATACAGAAAAGTGTAAAGTTCAGGAAGTGTGGCTACCTGCACAAAAACAGGGCTTGTTAGGAAGGAGGACAGAGAAATGATGCTCAAGAGGCACACTCCCAACCCCAGGCGAGATTTACCAAGAAAGACACACCTGGGCTTCCTGAATTCTGAGGAGGGAGGAGGAACCTTTGAACTTTGATAAAGAAACAATAGGTTACTTCATAAGGGAAAATAATCAGACTGGAATTGGACTCCACATGTGAAAGAGAATAAGATTCATGTATCTGACCTAGACGGTACTCTTTTGTGAAAGGAAAAGGACAAATTTAGAGGAACAGGGACTTGGAAAAACTATCTACACACAGTATCTGAGGTAATTAATTATTCAAGAAAAAACACATACCCACTGGAAATTAACTCAGCCAGGATCTCAAGATAGGGGTTGATGAAGAGGACAGGACATAATGAGTAGCACTGGATTTCGTAATGTTTATTGTGAAATCTAAATGGATCATGATCATGACGGTACAACTGAGAACTGTAATACAAGTGTTAGGAAAAAGTTCATGAAACAAAAGATACCTATTAACATGTTTTTAATATTAATTGGTTTAATTATGCATAATTAACAACATAATATAGTTCATTAATTAACAATCTGGAACTAAAATGCTAAACTATCTCAGCAAACGCAGGAGATGGAGTGGATACGACAAAAAAGAAGTCGTGAAGTGGAAATATTTTAAAGGTCTCATCTCAGAATGGTGAAGGACAATGAGCAAAATACCAGTTTCAATAATGAGGGAGAAGAGTTATTAATTTAATGTTATTAAAAATTTGATAGTTATTAACTCAGAAAAAAATATAGGTATAATTTCAAAATAAGATTATTAACAACAGAATAAAGATGAATACCAATACTTCCAAATTAACAGGGGTAAAAAAGGAAGAAAAGAAACTTGATAAATCCAACAAAAGAAAAGGAAACAAGGAGGGCTGGCGGCCTGGGTTCGGATCCAGGCGTACACCGACGCACCGCTTGCCTGGCCATGCTGAGGCCGTGTCCCACATACAGCAACTAGCAGGATGTGCAACTACGACATACA